CTTTAATGGAAGTATTTTGGAATACTTCCTGAAACGTAATAGTGTTGTAACACGAACTTACTTCCTGTCTCCATGTCGATAAGTTTCTATTTTAACGCGTTCGCTTGGCATCAATCCAGAAGGGCCACAGCTATTACAGTTGATCTCTAGCCGCCACTTTTTCATCAACTTTGATGTTATTTAGTAACGGTCCACTTTTATTACCTATACTATTTTGAGGTTCGCTGTTTTCATAGTGGTATTTAAAGTTATTTTAGTGCTCATTCAAAAAGTTTAGTGTCTTTTTTAATTATTTATTATGAGCGTTAATTTTTTAAGACCAGTGAGCGTGTATATAATGATTTATGAATAGCAAGGATGTGAAAGATATATTTACGGTTGTAATATCATATCTTCTGGCGTTGGTTATCTGTGCCTACCCTGCAAGAGACGTGTCAAACTGCAATAGTAATTTTTTTTTCGCAATTGGTGAATATAAAAAAATGATAGCAATGAGTATACTAAAAACAATTTCATATATTTGACTAAACGGTTGTTAGAATACTTATTAAGATACAGTCAAAAACATGTCATTTTCAAATTAACCCAAACTTGAAAATCAATTGCGAGAATTTGACATATTGCGGTAACTTGATGTGCTGCTGTATGTACTGTTCTAGAAGTACGTGATTTTTTTTTAACTATGATTTATGACACTACACGACTTTTTGTAATTTGATGAGCTGTGATGAGGTGCTGTTATAAATTTAAATATGTCAATTGAATAATGTATTCTCTTATTTTAGTATTACAATCCCGATATCATGTAAATAGCAATGCGGGCAAGAAATGAATGAGTTTTATATTTAGTTAGTTAGTTATAAGTTTATTTTTGATCGTTAAGTTGATCTAAACAATTAATCGCTACTCAATGAATGGTGTTATATTTTATACTTAATAGAATATACGCCATACAAAAAAATTAATAAAAAAGAGTATCTTGTCATTGACATGTGACGAAAAAAGAAATTTTAAATAAATGACGTAATGTAAGGAGAGGAAGACCAAAACAAGATGGATGGACTAACTAGATTGTTGAGAAAACATACCTTTTATGGCAACCCTAAATCAAATTGGGACAAGTACAAGCAAATGATATACGTATTACCTACAAAAATAAAGTAGGTATTAAAATAGTTTATTTATGTCACTTGTGGATAAGACATGAATAGTTGCGCTAAATTTTAGTTGAAATGTCTGGATTAAAGACTAGTCGAAATCCCTTTTCCTAATAGGGTTATCACCTAAAATATAACAATATTCTAAATTGAAGTTTAACATTAATTTCTTAATAATTACACGTTAAGATAATAATGTTATAATTAAACAGCAATAGAACGCACTCAGTATAAAAATATTTCTTTTTAAATAATAATATTTAAAACGTTAAAAACATCGCTGCATAGAATGTTACACAAAATAGTTCATCAATTTGTTAAAACGCCCTCCATTTGTCGTCATTCCCATCCATTAAGCATGAATTGGTGCTATTTTTCAATCAACAACAGTGCGTTTTACCGCATTTTACTGTGAACTAATTGCGACCCTGGAATGAATGTGTGGCATTCGCGTCTGTCATAGGGATGATCGACATTACAAAAACACAAGTGGTTATCGATTGAAGAATATCGATAAGAAGAAATCATCGAAAGAAATTCATCAATGTTTCATCAAAAAAGAAAAAAATGACATTTTATAACATTACTTCAATAACCGAATAGTTCGGCACATCTGAGGTCCCGCAAGACTAAGGTCGGGTTAATTTAACTATATTTTCTACCTACATATTGTCTTATGTCTGGGTATTGTGATATCTTCACTATCTGAGATACTCTTTAATGACGTGGATTCCAAGATGAGTAGCTGAAGAATTATGTTATCTAATATTTAATTACAAAAAATTAATTTACACAGCCGGTTTCTGGATTGAGAAATGTATCATTTTTTCCATGTTCTTTTGCATGTAAATATTGATATTTATTTATTTAATCTTAATTGCCTATTGAAATAGACAAACAGCAGACTTAATGCCAAAGAGGCATTCTCTACCAGTCAACCAGTAAATTTAGTACAAATACATAATCGCCGAAACTGTTCACTGTTTAAGCTTTTGGACTGGAGAGAACTTGGCATCAATATAAACGGCGAGTACATGACTCACCTTCGTTTCGCTGATGATATCGTAGTCATGGCTGAGACCATGGAAGATCTAGGCACAATGCTCGAAGATCTCTGTAGAGTTTACCAACAAGTGGGTCTTAAAATTAACATGAAGAAGACGAAAATAATGTCAAACTACATTGGTATATTGATACTTAGTAGTAAACCATAGTGATTTTTGCTAAATATCGACATGTATCGATCATCCTTAGTTTGTCTTGTCAGTTTGTTATCAACAGTCATTGACACGAGACCTTGCTCATTGTAAATGCTTTTATCATTAAGCCGCCTGCAAAATGCATTATGCGTCATAAACGCTTATTAACATTGGACAGCGCATCATTTCTCGGTAATAAAAAGTTTTATAGAGTAATAATTTTAATTATGACCCACTAACAATTACAGAAGTGGATATGAAAAGAGGTCAAGAGGGCGCATTATCCAAAATTATTTACCAACAGCTAGTTTTTAATTAAATTGACAAATTTTTGTGTGCAAATTAGTTCCTAGGCGAGTTACTTCCTTTTCATTACTTCGGCAGTATCAAATAAGCAACACCCACGCAAAAAGGCAAATGACATGGAAGTGGAATTGTACATGATTTGAATAATCATAATAATTTCTGCTGAAAGTTTATGATGAAAAATTATTTTATACTTGTATAGTCCACAGGCAATTTTTAAAGTCGATTCAGTAGTTTTGGAGCCTATTTAATGCACTTAAATCTTACCTTTTAATAGTAGTATAGACCTCTCCCATTTAATATTAATATAGAGACTCGGAAACTATTAAATAATCTCGGAAAATCGACTGTACATTACCGACCGTGTCAGCGATTACTGAACAACGGTTCGTTCCATACGCCCTCTCTTAGTCAAAGAAGAGAAAGACCAGACTATTTATAAAATCTGTATGACGATGTGTTAGCTTACTTTGAAAAAGATACCCGGCGAAGTACAAATGGCTGACACTTTAACATAGCAAGTACTGTTATTATTACTGTCTATATTAATTTACTGTCTATTATTAATCCCAGATCTTTTTGTTTATCAACTGTATCGACTGATGGACAATGGCATACATTACTATTGTGTAAGCAGTTGTGTTTGTGGATTACAAGCTTTTTAATTGGTGATTCTATGACATAAGGCGACTTTATTATTAACAGTTTATAATGTCACACAGGTATAATGTCACTAAAGTTATTTTATATTTTGACCGATAAAGATCAATTTTTTAAATAATTTTTGCACCAATTCAGGAGAGGTCCACATACTCCACAATTATCAAGCTTATTTACCAGTTAATCATGCATCAAGGTGTCAAAGGTACGTGAATAATCTATTAATAAGGCCACAACGTGTTTTTCTTATTAAGATGGTAATTTACTTTATCTGTGAATTTAGATTATCTAGCCAATTTTGTCATATCAAAGTGAACCTATATATGTTTACGATATCTACCATACATACAGTTCAATGTACGAAATTTGATCGATGTTAATCATGTCGTCTTGTTTGTTCGGCGACCGATAGAACGAGATGACACGACTGATTGAACATTTGTTTTGCATGGGTTACAAATTACGCCCAGAAATTGTGCTATAATCTGGGATATAAAGAAATGGTAATAACTTAGTTGTTTATCAATATTATAAAATTAAGATTACACACATTTAATAAAAAGGTTTTACTTAAATAGATCTTAAGTTATTAGTAGTAATTAAAAAGCATTATTGTATAGAAGCCGAAAGAGACATTTCTGACGAACTAGTTAATACGTACGAATGTTAAATTATGCTAAGTAATTTATTCATTGCTGAAAATTGTGAGTTAAATTTTAGAATTCAGACAATGGTTAAAATTTATTCCGTGGTAACAATTTTCGTATAAGTAGTATGAATAGTGATACAGTGAGAGATTAAAATATTTTTAGTTTCTCAATTTCATTTTATAATTAACGCGAATGGAAAGTGCGACCTCTATAGCAGAGTGGCTCTCACTATGGTGACAAAGTGTTACAGTCGGGCCGTAGTAGAAAATATACTATTCTCTTTATTTTTGGTGTTGAATGTTGTGTTATTTTCGTTGTTTCAGACACTCAGAATGGGGCCTTAGCTTTTTTAATTTATGAACAATGTAGGAAATATTGTCTTACATTATAAAATATATTAATCTTTATATTTTAGAAACTGGAAATGTAACTATTCTTCAAATTCTTAGTGAAGAGGCGAAAGATATGATTTACGTGCATAAAAATATAAATGTAACAAATACGTAAATGTAATAGATAATAAAAAAATACTATATATAGAAATAAACAAAAATAATTGTATTTTTATACCCTTCAGAAATGTAACAGCCCAGGTAAGTAATAAAACAGATGACCAAGGAATGAAGTCCGGGAAGAACACATGAAAGCTACAATGAAAGAGTAGTGAACTGAAAAACTTCGGTGAGGAGCTGAATTTATGATTAGTTTATTTGGTGCTTTCATTACACAAGCACTAATTGCATATGCAAGTTACTAAATATCTAGAATCACATAAATGGTAAGGATCATTATCATTCATGGGATTCTAGTACTATTCTATCCATCAAAGTATTCAACTTCTGGATTTAAAGTCACAGTCTCAAATAACATTAACTACTCAATCAATTTTAAAGATATTGTTACAACGGGCGTCACAAGAATTATTTTTTCATAATTTACCAACATAATGATGGCTGTAACTACGGCAGTTTGTGGACTGGCTTGTATAGAGTTTTTATTGTAGCATATAATATTAGAAATCTACTCACCATATATTTTTGACCACTGAGCCGGCGGCCTCCAATCCGGATAGTGTTTCGGAAACTTCTCTCTCGTCCAATATGTATGTAGAACCATCCGGTACACGGTCATTTTGTCCGGGTTACACGTGTCCGTATCGGGTGTGGGCGCTGCAATCGCAAGCGCGGGCACCAGTAGCGCCAACAGTAGCCGCGCCATTTTATCGATATAACGCATCGACACTCGCACAACACTAAACTGTTAACATTGTCGGCTGATGTCACAACATTGCACTTTTTATCATTTGTACCTGTAACAAAAATAAGAATTTTTAACGCCGTTTGAAAATTTTGTAACCTTACTATTTAGTAATTAATCGTTGTTTAGTAACACATAGCTCTATTTACGTTATTCCAATGTATCTGTAATTAGCGGGGAAAAGACAAAAGACTATTCGCTGGGTGCGAAGTAGGAGGTGGGAGAACACCAGAGAACACGAATCGATCACAGCGCGCACCGTGGCTAAAACGGAAACTCTGTCGGACGAAATGTTACTTTTACTTAAGAAATTTACATATTTGTGCATTTTAAGCAAAATATAATAAAATACGTCACGATACCTGCTGTGTAGTTGGCTGCAAGAACAATGGCAAAAATAGTGATAATTTTTTTTATAGATTTCCTCGAGTGAGATGGAAACAAGAACAAAATTACTAACAATAAGCTGTAGCTTCACCAAATAGGAGTATGAGTACATAGAAAAGTATGTGCTCATGTTCATGATGTAAATTACATATTTTTATATTTATCAGTTACGTAAAAGTGTCATTTTAAAGAATTTTTCATATTAATTTACCTTTTTTTATTGTAGCTAAAATATATTTTTTGTATGCCAAATTTTGTATGAAATCTAGTTGAATAATCAAATTTTAATGCCAAAGTTATAGGTATATATAATCAAGCAAGATGAAATAGTTTTAAGGACAATTTATTATTATTTATATATAGTGAATATCTGTAGCCTTCGAGAAGTAGTGATTATTGTTTGTTTACTTACTATTCGTACTAAATGCAAACCATTTGACATTTCAATGTCCGACATAATTGTAACCGCTAGTTGGCGCTACCATCATGCACCTAGCGAATAGCCACATAACGCTTACACATTGCTTATTGATATATTATTATTTTGGATATTTTGTAGCTTATTTAACGTAGTTAATATTAATTACTTCAGTTATCTAATTTAATGTTTTTTTTTATATATAGAAACATATTAAAAATCAAATTCGAATTCACTCATGTATCCTAATACAATTCATTTAGTTAGAAATTTTATTAATTCCATTTTTCCTATAAAATACAAAATAAAATTGATTATTATACGCTGATTATACGTGTCTCAGATATTCTATTTCTATGTAATTTTGTACGAGTAACTCACTTCACTTATACCATGAAACATTTTTAACAATTCAACATTGAACGGATGCCGCTTTTTGAAGTGTATTCGGAATTCGAATTCTGATTTGGATTTTTACAGAAACGCAGGGCTGAACTAAGAAATAGTTTTTGTTAAAAACACAATAAATTTAATTTTTTCAAAAACAAAGCCGGATACTGTACAAATACTAAAAGTTAGCCACTAGCGATAAAACGGATTTATAACAAACAAACATTCAAATCTTTCCTCTTTATAATATTTCTGAATTCCTGACGAATTCAATAGGAGATTAAATTTGTTAAAAGTTCCAGTCAAGAGGTTTTGTTGATATTTTCCAAGCTTTTATGGAGTCAGTTTTTTAACAGACTTTCTGTAACTTGTCTTTGCGAATGTACACATCATCATTAACATCGGCTTATTATTATTCTTTCTTTTTAATGAGCCACCGGCACGAGGCACCTCATGGAACTAATCTTATAGAGAAAACGGGGATGAGGACGAATACCATCCGAACAACGAGGACATTTTTTAGTCACCCATCTAATAACTAACCATTACGAAGGTCGCTTAACTTTCACAATCTCAGATCGAACATACTTTCCACTGTGACGTCGACCTCCTAAACCGTGAATAAATGAACCTTTGAAATCATTCGGATGAGGGGTCACCGTACCCGTTCTATTTTGGTAGGTATTAGATCAGAAGGAATTGTTGAAACGTATCCAAGGATGATGGATCGACGTGAAGCGTACGCGGTGACAGGCTCGGCGACAACTGTCACTATGAAATCGCTTCAGGAATAATCGGTAAAGTAAATTGATGGTAGACATAATTAGATATTTTAATATTATTACAAGTAATGAGTTTGATGACGCAGCAGCGGCGAGCTGTTTCGGTCTACTGTTGTATAGGGAATTGGCTTATCTCACAACAACGGTAAAGTTGACGTTTGTATAGCTGTTGGTTTTCCAAGATAATTAAATACATTTGGATCCTGACTTGAAAAAAGACGGTGGGTCACCATTTGAATAAAACATTGACTGGACAATAACAGTTACTATCAAACTACTAGTATGTTTTATTGTTACAAAATAGTTTAGGAAATGCATTTACTATGATTTTTTTTATGGGATAGGGGTAGACGATCAGACGGATCACCTGATGGTAAGTGATTACCGTCGCCCATGGTCACCTGCAACACCAGAAGGGCTATAAGCGCGCTGCCGGCTTTTGAGGGACGAATCTGATCATAGGGAGGGAAGGGTTGAGGGGTAGAGGGAAGGGAATAGGGAGGGGTTGGGCCTCCGGTACCCTCACTCACACGGCGAAACACAACGCAAGCGTTGCTTCACGTCGGTTTTCTGTGAGGCCGTGGTATCACTCCGGTCGAGCCAGCCCATTCATGCCGAAGCGTGGCTCTCCCCAAATTCAAATTCCAAATGCAAATTCCCTCCATCACATAGCTAAAAGAGCCGTTGGGGCGGAAAGGTTATAGAATGGCGACCGGATACTGGACGACACTCAATGGATAGGCCCCTCACCAGGTGGACCGACGATCTTATAAAGGTTGCGGGAAGCCGCTGGATGCGGGCAGCGCAGGACCGATCGTCGTGTAGATCAAGAGGCTTATGCTCTACAGTGGGATTCGTACGGCTGTCGACGATGACAACTGTGAAACTATGGCAACTAGCAATATCCTATTCTGTATCTGCAAGATCTACTGTGCACAGCGCGTATACAAATTCACGTGAATAAACGACAATAAATCTCGCAAAAACACCACTTCTGAGAACTTTTACCCATCTACGGTGAATCGGTGGTTGACACCTATAAAGGCTGACTTATCCTCCTTGGTACTGACTGCGTGTGGAAGTTGAAAAGACTTCTGCTAGACGCCTGGTTCGGTCAGGGCAATCGGTTACGAGTTAAAGCAATGTAGTTGGTCAGTGGTACATGCAGGGCAACAGGTCAGCAATCCAGGAGAAGCAGGCAGGGCAAACAGAATGAATTAGTGTGTTATATATGCCTGTTCGCTTGCCAGCAGTCGATGGGTCCATCCACACACATCCTTCTCTCTCGATGCCGCCGTACCCGTGCCCGGTATTGCATTCTTTACACGTGTTAGCATGATCGCATCTCATCTATGCAAAATATATGGAAAGCGACAATGATTTTCTCATATGACGCAGTTTGCGTTCAGTTGGAAGACCAAAACATTTGGTTCACTGTTGTCTGTAGTCAACCTGACTATAGACCGCAAAACACACTTAGCAAACCAAATGCTTTACACTTGTAAAAACTGTCGTAACCTGATAAAACAAACAACAGCTGACATTCTCCGTGTCCCAACATAGACAAATGTAACAATAAGCTTTTCACGGGTCGAAACAAAAAGCAATTTCCACAATTTTTTTAAGAACAAAACAAACCATCAAGGAAAGACATCTTATTTTCAAAAGGACAATGACAAATTGCCCGGCCAACGTTATTTATACTGTTTTTCGTATCCGCAACAGTCCGTAATACATTTGAATGTGTATTACATGCTTCGGATGCAATTAAAGCGGCTTAAAATTGATATTTGCTGTACATTAACATCGCCATAGATTATGTTCGACCAGTGGTTCCATAAAAATGTTTAAAATTGGCTCGTACAAGTGAAATATATTTTCTTTTCACTAAAAGTACACTAAACTTTTAAATTTATTTTTAGAGTTCCGTACCTTAAAAGGAAAAGCCCTTATAGGTTCACTTTGTTGTCCGTCTATAATATTTGTTAAACCCTTTATTTCGGGAATGCATGACGATATTGAGTTGATATTACCACATAAACTCTACAGTCCTCTGAAGCTGTAAAAATGAAAAAGGTACGGTAGTTCACGCCACAAAATTGGTGTGTGACTTAATACATTTACTATTCACATAACAGTAATTATTTCTAATACAATTAGCTAAGATTACAGGGGTAAGCTTATGGCTACACGGAACCTTCAGGCGGTAGACTTAATCCTCTTGTGAATAATCGCCTTTATTATAAGGTTGTATACTATTTGTACATACCAAACCTAATTATTATATGCATTTAAAATTAACTTGTTATAGGTATTGAGTACGAGCAAACTGTATGGAAGGGATATAGTAAACGATGGCAACGCACGGTGTGGCATAATTGTGTAACAAAAGGGGTTAGTGATACTTGTCAAACGCTATTTGAAGATGGGTCATTATTCTTGTTGTGTAATAAACTGCAAAAATACTATTGGAAATAGTCAGTGTAAATTCTATATTTTTCCAAAAGCAGCCTGGAAAATAGATCAAAGAATTAGATGGATAGCTACGATTAAAAGAAAAAAGTAAGTCTACAATATTAATTTAAATAATGTTATAGGATATTTACTAATTATGGTATTATTGTTTGTTGTATACTGATGATGGATCGCTATGGCATCCAAAACCCGACGACAAAATATGCAATGAACATTTCATAGGAGGCAAAAAATCAGATGCGTAAGCAAGTCCAAGTTATGTGCCCATGATACTTCCCAAAGTGTATCGAAAGAGGAAAGTTAACGAGTCACATGTACAAACTAGATATACACGATTGATTAAGCGGAGAACCACAAAAGCTGCAGATATCTCGGAAATCTCGGATACCACAACAAATGAAATAAGAATGGAAAATGAAAATTAAACTTAACCTCGTCTAGCGAATCAAGGATGTCAAGTTAATATCTTTTCTGAAATCAATTTAAAGGAAACAACCTTTATTTGCAATAGTTTTATTTACACTGTGATGCAGAAATTCAAGTAGATATTGCAACAACTACAAAAAATGTAACAACAACTAGTCCCAGAAAAAAATGTTT